GAATACGATGGGCCAAATGCTCCTTTTTGCATTTATAGCTATGGTGTTCTAAAGCTCTGCTATAAAGAGTCTGGCAGTATTTCACATTACTTCATGTTCACACAGTAAGAATGCTTTACTCATCAGCATTACAGTTATTTGGAACATGACGGTATTTTTGTCCTCATAATAAAAACAGCAATGCGAAAAAATAGAACAGCAGAATGAGCAGAGTTTTCCAAAAAAAAATCAGGTTAGTGCCATGGACAAAACTACATCATAGCTGTGTATTATAAGAAGGAAAAAGTGTCAGAAAAAAAAAAAACAGAACAGGCTTTATATCAATGGACAACTGGGGTAAACTGGATTTATAAATTAAAAACAAAATGGGACACTTTTTATATACATTACATTTTTGAAAAATTATAATTTTATTGACTTTGTCGAAAATGACCAAAATGTTACAGTATATGACAATGAGTGCAATGAACACCCAGAGCCTATTTTATCATTAAATCCATGTTTCATTGGTCAGGAGTTTTCACAGTTTGCCCTTTTCACAACGGTTTGCTCTTCTAATTTATGAGGCATGACAGATTTCAGAGTGGATATGGTGGGACAACTCCAGACTGGTAAAAGCAACGTGTTAAAATGATTCTGCTGTACTGGGTGCCATTAAAGAGGAAAGAGATAAGGTTGTGGAGTGCTCAAAATTAATAAGCATTTAAACTGCAATGTCTGTGTCATACTGTATATCCTGACTCAAACAACTACCTACTCACAGTTACTTGAGATTAGAAATTTCCAGGATGTCATTTTGCAGAAGTCCCCCCCCCCCACTTCACGCCGTTCCCACACTTATCTCTGAAGTCCTTTAGGGGCCCTTTGAAAAATCAATGCCCCGTAGTGTATTCTGCACTGTCCTTCATGGTCAATAAAAAGAGAAGAGTCGAATCGTTTGACGTCACGGCATGTTCTGTGCAAAGGGTAAAGATTTGTCCTTTGTCAAGCCCTTCTAACAAACAAGCCCAAAAGCAAAAGCATACTAGCTGGCATAACTCAGATGTTAGGAGCTTGAACACCTTAGGGTACTGTAGATGTCTTTAAAATGCTGACCAATCCCATTGCATTGGTGTGGTTTCCATATAATTCAGACTACAACCCAAGGGAAAAATTATGGCATGATTTATTAACAGCAGATAAAGAAGACTATTTTCTGAAAGGATGACCGAAACCCAAATACAGTATGCTATAGAGCAGTGAGCCTGGCTGTGTTCAGGGATTTGAATTTAAAGTTACAAATGTCTTCGAGAATCAGGATACAAAGTCAAACTAAAATCTGCTGCCACGTTGAAAACTTCACAACCACTTCTACTGAATGTGATCTTAAAGAATTTCAGGGTTTACGTAGTTTATTATTTTAGGATGGAATTAAAGAAGGTTAATGTTCTGCTGTCACTCTAGAGATCTGACTGCATACATATTCAGCCTGGGTGGGTCTATGTTATTCTGTTATTCTGGTCAGACACTAGTTTTCTTTTTCAGTATATGCACTGACATAATGATGCATGGTATACCGGTTTATTTGTCTGACTGTGAGTGCACTTGAGACACTTCTAGCTGACTAGGCTCACCTCTGTCATGTCGGGACTTTTGGCCTGGTAGCTTCTCTTTAACCGATTAATTGTGCTCTGTTGTGATTCTAAGTCTTCCTGCAGAACAATCATGTCCTCTTGTCTGTGACTCAAGAAACGTTATAGGTGAGTGGGGGCTATTCATCCCATCTAAATTATTTAGCTGCTAGTAGCTAATTGATTCAAGGAACTCAACCAGCCATTTCCTGAAGGAAGCTAGGGTAGTGGCTTCAACAAGATTCAGTAGAACATGATTGATCTACTCCCTCCTGTTCCAATAATAAATCTACTACCTCTTAGACTGCACTCATAATCACATCTCCTTAGTCCACAGTCCTTGTTTCACTATTGTTCCTGAAAAGGTGCACAGAGTATAGACTGGCAATACCTTTGAGGGTTCTGAAAAGTTTAATCAAACCTACGTTGTTCAATATTAAAGTGATTAAGTAGATCTGTCTATGTGACTCAAATTTAACTGTTTATTCTACCTCCAGAACTGAAATGCTACCATTATTTTCCCCGTTTGCATGTGGATCACATAAAAACATCTACCAAATTAATACATGTACAGTAAATGCCATTCAAGATCTTCTTTATGACATGGGAACTTAAATTGAACATAACATTCAAGATAAGATCTTAGTAATCGTCTGTACAATTTTAACTTTACTTGATTTATATTCTACACTATTTATCCTTATTTGCTTTTTTCTTTCATACAAAGTATAAAAAAAAGCAAAAGAATGTCTGCAAATACCAAAATCCATTTCATAGGTAGCATTTTCAAGCTTGTTTCTGCTCTTGCATTAAGGGTTTACTCTTCTATAGAGTTTCTAGTCCTGTTTTGGTATTTTCTAAAATGTGACAAATCTGCTCAGTTGATGCTTTTCCTTTGTTAAGTAGTTCACTATAAACAGATGTGACATTACTTTTGCTATAAAGTTAACTCTGTAAGCCAAAGTAGTAGCAGTTTAGTGTTAAAAACAGAGGTTAACTAATTTCGTTTTATAACATTCTTTGTCTTCTTCTTTACTGCCTCTTAGTCAACACATTTACTGTACTTCTCTTCCCTTAAACTGCTCCAGACATCTAAATAAATCTGTTAACATTTAGATTGGACTACATACAGGTTTAATATTTTATGAAATGCCAACTTAAAGAACTGCTCCATAATGATCTCAGGAAAACTAAAGTACTACAAGCCAGTTTTTACAAAGATGACAAGGCCACAAACAGAATGACATTTTACGGCATTTTTTTAAAATTGAGAATTGCCAATTATTTTGTTATACCCAGCGATTTAGTATTGCCAACTGTTTTTGACATGTCAGCTCATGGAAACGAACCCTGTAAACACACACATGGAGAATAAAGAAGTGTAGGCAGACTCCAATTTGCCCACCTTGGAGCCACTCAGGCATACACAGTCCTATACCAGAGGTTCATAGCTGATTGCAGGAGAGGCATGACCCTCCCTGACAAGCCTGCAAGCGGTCTGGAAGTCTCAGGTTTCAATTTGTTGCCATTAGCCAAAAAGAGCCCTTCCGACCCTCAGCAGCCCTCAGACTGTTTGGCAAACTCCTGGTCACTGTCGGCTAGAGATATGATCCAGACTCAAACCTGCTACATCTGGATTATAAAGCTCAATCGTAACTCAGGAGAATCCCATTTCTGGTTGTGCCACAGTACCAACACATACCCAACCCTGTCTTGTTGTATTTTAATGCACTTGAAACTATGCATACAGAACAGGGACATATAAATATTTGTTTAAAATTAATTTTAAGAGAACCTTTCAAAGCCACCGAAGGGCACCAGTGTAAAAACTGCAACTGAATTGGTCCTACTTCACTAATAGATGAGCAGCAGAAAAAGAAAAACAGGGTGTAGAGGACAGTGTGAATTCCTCTGAAGCCCTTGAAGGCTGGATGAATACAGCTTTTGTGTGGCGAACTGCTACACATCCATTCTGCTTTGAAGTTCCATCCAATCAAGCCACTTCCACCCCCACCTTCCTCCAAAGAAAAAAAATGACAGCGAGAAAGAGAGGATAAAAATCCCAAATGTTTTGTCCACGGGACTGAGCACATGCTTTTGAAGTGTGAATGTTTGGGAAGGAAACTAGCAGGAGCTGCCTGAGTAATCATGGGCTTTAACACAGACCCCACCTCGCAAATGGGCCTTCTGTCACTTCTAGGTCTGTGGCTGAAGCAATTACATGGCTCTCTTTGTGCTGCCTGCTGCAAGCTTTGCAAGTCTTAGGTCCAGGACTCAGGGGAGCCTTGATTTCACACATGTTTAAGAGCGTTTTATTTTTTTAATTACTATTTAATTATTTCCATAGTTAGGGCAACTTTAGCATAGTTTGTATAAGTTATCGCTCACATCAGGAAAATAACACTGCAATAATGTCATCAACTCTCAAAAGGAAATCTTTAAAAGGAGATAAAGGAGACTGAAAAACAAGCTACAACCTCAATGAGCCTTATCAAACCCTCGTCCCGCCTCAACTTGAGCCTATGTGTTACATCTGATCTACGTGAGTTGCAAGCCAACCTAAGCACACATAAGGATAAATGGCACTTCCATTTAGATCCCAGCAACCTGGATGTAGGTGATCCTTTCACAAAAACACATTGAGGGTTTATTGGGGATTTCAATTCTGCAAACAGAGTATTTAAAAACTGCATCGACACTCTATGCTCACATTTGGCACATGTAAATGAACTTATTTCAGTTGCTGTCCATAATATCTGCTAACTTTTCTAAATCTAGTGTAGACCACACATCTTATAACTGACTTTAAATTTGAGCAAAATTCAAGAAAACTTACATTATGGTAGAAACAAAAACATTTTCTTTTCAGATGCTACCTAGCGATCATGAAACATTTTCCACTAGAATAATTTATCAAGATGTTTTCTGTCTTAAGAACATTGAATCTTGTACATATAAAGGAAAATATAAGACCAGAAATAAAAAAAAAAACATACACCGAAGAGAAAAAGATAATTATTAAGATTTGAATTTGACTGCACATCAAATTGCTGACAACTTAAGTTGTAAAAAGGCTACAGGGAGTAAGTCCTTTAGTAAAATGCATAGTCTTTCTCTGTATATATTTTTTTCATATTCAGCACTCTGAAGCCAGCATTCCAAGTCTGTAGCACATTTGACAAAAGATTAGAACAAAAAAAACATTGTGTTCTGAGGGTGTCAAGAGACTGCACTCACTTTTAAAATTGTTGTACAAATTTAATAGCGGCAAATTTCATTCACCATCTTTACTGGTGCTAGATGAGATCTATGCGCATCTCAAACCAAGGTTACAAGGGAAAACTGAGAAGGAAAAGGAAGAAAACTGTAGTATGAAATACTTCTGCTTACCTTCTGTCAACCCTCTTCCTTCGGAACAGTTTTTTGGTGTGGGCTATTTCAGCTTCATTGGACAATGGCGGATATACCTAAGGAAGGGAAAGGAGCAAGTACCGAAATTACATCAATTCAGGCTCATTACACACAGAATAATTAAAGTAAAAAGCAAAGCCAAATGGTTGATGTCAACAGAAAGCATACAAAGTTACAGATTCAGCAAATCTCATTCCCACCTGCCACATTACCTCAAGTGATTCATGAAAATACGTACAGTGAAAAGAAAATAATTTCATGTTTGGGGTGTGTGAAATCCCTCAAAAGAAGAAAATGGAAAGGGTTCAAGTTCCTAACCACCTACATTTCAGCCAGTATCTTGTGTGGAACAGCCTTTTTTCGGTTTTCTGACTCAACCATTCATCTTGAATGGAGCTTGTGCTTGTGAAACGTCAAAATGTCAGTTTAGTTTTTTAGAAACTTACATTTCACATTATGTGTGATTTTCAACATGTCCTTCTTTGCTGTCCGTTTGCCATGTTAACACAACATGTCAGCAAATAGGAAATTTAACAGTGGCGTATTAGCTCAAGTGTTTAAACAGTTCCCCAGCAGGCTCCCAATATCAAGCAGATATCTATGAGATAGCTCTGAAGACCTGAAGGAATCACTGAATGGATCACTTCTCATGCAGAGGTATTTTAAACCTTTTCACCATGTCTAATGGTGACAAAATCTGACCTCTAATCATAAGACTGTATTAAAAAAGTATTATTGATGGATGTATCACTAAATGGTACATACATAAGGGGAGTATTCACTCGACACTTCTTATATCATGAAACACCCACTGTGACTGGACACACCTATTCTCAACAAAAATAAAGACATAGGAAATAAGCTATTTGGAATTATTAATTTTACATTGAAAGGGACATTTGCAAAAACAAATAGTATATTAGCTTTGCTTGTTCTGATTTTTAGACCAGAAATATCATGAACGCTATTACTTTCCCTTTGTCCTTCGTTGAAAGAATGGTAACTGTTAGCAATTTAATACTGTTGAAAACAAAATGGAGCATTGGCATTCTTTAATAAAAAAAAAATGCATGGTTCCCCAAATAGACATTAAAAGGCTTTGAAGTCAAAATTCAAAAGGTGTTCTTAAGGTACTACACCCTCTGTTAAATTTATCTAAAAGGCTTGACAGACAGATCCTGTCTTGCTATAAACCGCTAACCCTGGTTGCCATGGTTACAGATGCACTACAGACATACTATCAGAGAGGAAGGGGAAAGAAGGTTATTTTCTCAAACAGCTCTGGTGGAGCTCGTGGTTCAAACACTTACTGGCTTCATTATCTCCAGATCAGAAAAGTCTGCACAGGAAGCCATATAAAACCTACTGCTCCGTGGCAGCCTGCTTCCCTCTAATCCCAAATCCCAAATCAACTAAAATCGACTGCAGTACAGATCTCCTTAAGAACCACAGTGCCCTTTGCCTGGTTTCTCTTTTGCATGTGTCTTTTGCAGCCCTAGGTACGGCATTCTCAGCCTAGGAACAATACTGGTTCTCCACTCTTTAAAATATAAGGTAGAAGATGGAAAAAAGATCAGTTTAGTAGCACTACAGCTAAGATAATGAAAATAACTGAATTGTAAAAACAGAAAAAAAGTTTAAAAGTAATGTTAACTTGATTAAGAATTTTATAAAATTCAGATATAACACTCATTGTACAACAGTGTAGTCATCAATGGGGGGGGGGGGTCACAACTAAACACACCCTGTAAAGCAAATATTGGGTTGTCTTCCATTAATCTAAAAGAAAATAGATTAATGGATCTTGCTTTTTTTTTAGCAAGATCAGCCATATGAAAGTTTTCCCAGTATTTAAGTTTGAACACTGTCCAATAATTCAGAAAACCCCAAATAAATCCCAAGAAATAGAGCAAAACCATTTAATAGGATTATCTCTCAGGACAAATCAGGTAGTAAAACTGGGCACCTTAGACAGGAAGCAGGGTTTCTGAGGGAGAGAGTGCATTACTAGAAAGATCCTTCACCTTAAAATTCACACAGAAAAGCAGTAAGACAGGCAGAAACGTTGAAACACTACCTTAGGACAGCAGCTTACCACTTGATAGAAGTGACCTTAAATGCAAAAGCATTCCATCCATTTGTTGTTAAAGATTACAAGGTTTCTGTAGGCGCTGAGAGTTGGTGTGCTTAAGTGCAAATGCATTTCTTTTCTACATTTTAAGTCAAGGGCTTTTGCTGAAAAAAGAAGAACAGATTTTCAAACGTCTTTCAAGTTTTCAAAAGAAGAAAAGGCAGTTGCGTCTGTACTACTTAATTGCATATTTTTGTAGATTTCTGAGGAGCTTCAGAACACAATATTCAATAGATGCTGAATATTTCTGAGGTTAAGAATGCAACACTTGGTATACTTAAATGCTTAAAACAATTGTTGAATTATGATGAAAAATAAATTTAACCTCAAGCATTGTAAATTCAAATATAAAAAAGATTAAGCTCAAAAGAAACAATATGCATTTAATTAATAACTTGTCTTCCTGTTATTCTGTACATTTAAAAGGCCAAAAAGAGAGAACATAAGCTATATATCTACTGCTATACAGTATAAGTATATCTATAATAGCTCCTGTTGCTTTGTTCACGGATATCAGTTGTTGTAACATTGTAACCAGATGGCCATCTGATTTCCAGATGGATTTTTTATGGAGACCTGAAAAATTGAAATAATCTAAATGTTTATATGCCAGCTACTTGTAAATTTGTAATAAATAATTGACAAGTAAAATAAAAATAAAATATTTAAAAAACAAAACAATGAAGAGTGAACTCTGAACATATGTTATCAGGAATGAAATAAATGAATTTTATTTGGTTTAATCTCCAGCCGTGAGCTAATTAAGTCCCAATCCAAATAAAAAATGCTGGTCTAAAAAGATAGACTCCGAGTTGAAAATACACATAGCCCAGGAAGCTAGATGAACATAAAAATGCAGAATGCTAAGAAGATCTAACCGATTCGTCCATTTTCCCAGTCTTTAGAAAAATATTAAGAGCTACTTCACTGTTTCACTAACGAAATGTGTGATACCTTTTTTATAGAAAATTCCTTCATTGCATGTATATCTGACAAATAAACCTCTAGGCTCTTAAACACATCAACAAACCCTTCATTCACTCCCTAAAAAAAAGAAAGCAGTCCCCTTTCCTAGTTTAGCCCAACTTGTTCACCCGTTAATGCTTTTTTTACTTTAACTCTAATCCACTGTGGTAAACCTTTCAGAGAAGGACTTCAGGTTTTACCAATGGGCTTCTGAACATTGTGCAATGGCACTTTTTAATATGTGCACCGTCTTTACCGACTAACCGTCTGACCGATGACAGCGTCCACATGGAGCCAAACCGGTAAGAGAGAGACTAATAGAAAGCCAACCATGACATGAAAAAAAAAAGAAAAGTGAATAGAAACATGCATTTTAAAACTGAAAGGGTGCCCTTTCACACAGAAGTTGACAGAAACCTGAACTGACTGCAGACGTGACAGAAGAGACGTTGAGAGTTTTGACCAGGAAATCCACATAGACTAATTCTGCTGCGCTACTCGGCAACAGCGACAATACAGGACATGAGCCAAAGGGCTGGAGGTGAATTGGGGGGGGCGAGGGGGTTCCGTCAGAGTTAACTGCCTGATGCCCAATGACCATGACTCCAAATGGTTCTAATCAGGAGCCGATTTTATCGCATTTCCTTAGAGACAATTTCACTAAATAAATGTTTCACTGTTTGCGGCTTTCTGTTTACTATGAACACAAAAACTACAGTTCTGCATTGAAAGTTAAACCTACACAACACATTTAAAGACATAGTCAAGAAAAAACGTATGACCACAAGTTCATGTCATACAGAAAACAGCTGGCAAACAAAGATGTATAAAATAAGAGCAACTGGGTCTAAAGCATCCGCAGCATGATGACCCTTAATATAAGGACAAGTACAAATAAGAGGAGGCTATTCTGCCCATCAAGTCCATTTGGTATTTAGAAGCTAACAGATTCAAGGATCTCAACTAGCTATTTCTTGAAAGAAGCCAGTTTATCAGTTTCAACATCATGGCTGGGTAACCTGATCCATGTTCCCACAACTCTTTACCACATACATCAGTAAAAGTGAGGTGAGCTTTGTACTACAATACCTGCTGATTTTAACATGTATCATTATATGTTTAATGCATGGCAGAAGACTCACTTGTAAAAAAAGTGCAGGCCACTCTTTTAAAGTGGAAGTATGTGCATAGAAAAGGGACTCTGTATAAATGCCCACGCATAACTCTTAGTAGTTCAGCAAGATTTGCCTTGTTCAATCCCTTTCTCAACTGAGAGCAAAAAACTCCACGGTTTGAAAAACATCTTCCTACATTGCAAAAAATGGAAGGCTGAGCTAGATGCTATTAAGACATTTGCAGAACCAGAATGTCAGTCTCTGGAGCCCTTTCTAAACAGGAGCAAGATGTCCTCCCATTTCTTTGACAGGTTCATCTGTTCATCCAGGTGAAGGAGCCAAAAATGAGTCATTTCTGTTTAGCAAGTTAAAGGGTTCAAATGCCTGGCTGCATAAAAAAGAAGCCTTGCAACAGCCGTTTTAATCTAATGGAAAGTACTACTTGCAGGTTTGCTTGTAGCTGGTTAGGAAGACACTAGTTACACACTGATTGGTAGAGGGTTCATGTCAGAATTTTGCTACTGTTTGAGCGAGTTATTAGCAATGTAATAGATTTAACACTAGTTTTAACATTCTGCTGTATCTTGCCACATCATAAAAATAGAACTGTTCATGCTTTTGTTCCCGGATTTTATTCTTTTGTCAGGATTTTTTATTTTTGTGACAGAATTGGAATCTTAGAACTTACACATTACCTTGGATACCGTTTTAACTAAATTCAATATTGTTCCTCTCAGTGGACTTGGTTTGGAGAAAGAAGTTGGGACTGATAAGTTCATAAATACAGTTTTATATGTTCACAAAATGTTTTATATGTTCACATCTCAGTTAGTTCTATCTGTTT